TTAACCATGTGTTAAGTAGCCTTTAAGTAGCCTTTTCTGACAAAATTATCCTCAGATAGGAAGGCTCTAAGACTCTAATTGCCACATTAGTAAAGTGTGCTTGCAATATGCAGGTAGGTGGCAGCAACGTTCACACAAAAAAAACCAAACAGTTTTACTATGCATTGAGTAAAGGTCCTCATGAGTTCTTAATTTTAGTGCTGTGTGAACAGCTTTAGGGTTACCTCTGTGCTGTGTTTGATTCTTAGTTGCAACTGAATTCTATTATATATACATTGTTACTCTTAACAGGAACACAATCAGTGAGGCTGGTTGGGTAGGTAAAGTATGTGACTTTAGATCTCAGAGTTGAGAGTTAGAACCCCACCTTGAAGATAGAGTTTACTTACAAAAAATTTTTAAATAAATAAATAGAGGAACACAACAAATAGACTATTCTCTGGATCTCCATTTTGTAGCTTATAGTTTACTTCTGATCAGTATAATTCTTAAAAAGGAGTTTTGTCATTTAAAACACATTTAATTTAGATTCACTATGTTGTACCCCTGAAATTAATGTAACATGTCAATCATCCTTCAATTTAAAAAAAAGAAATAAACTAAAAAAAACACAATTAATAACCACAAGCTTAATAATATACTATCTGCGTTATAATTTTAACCTTGCAAAGACTTATATTACTTTGGTGGTACTAGGCAAAAATTTAAATAATGAATGTTAATATTTATTGATATGGAAATGTGCTATAGAAACACTATATGAAAAATGCAGTTTATCAAACAGCATGTACTAATCTGATTATATAAATACACACAACTAGAGAAAATGTGCCAAAAAAGTAATGGTACCTATCCAAACAGTGCTCATGGTGGATGGTGGAATAGCGTGTGATTTTCATTTTCTTCTTTATGCCTAAAGACTTAAAACTTATATAAGTTTTCCATTTATGAGGAAAAATAAATTATTTTAAGTATTTATAGAACATGATATATGTTTGTCAATTCAAGTGCCTGTAGAGATTCATAAACAAAGTGCCCACATTGTAGCTTGCAGGCAATGCCTAGCCGTAAGAGATATAAAGGGTGAGAGAAGTAGGAAAATAAACTGCAACCAAAGACATAAAGCAGAAATGATGTGCTGTTGTCACAGAGAAAAATTGTCAGATACTGTAGAGTGTTCATGTTTGCAAAATGGTACTAGATTATGGAGCACCTTCAATGTTATAATTTTTCACTTCTTCCCATAGATAGTGCAGAACTATATATAGATCAGGGGTCAATTCTATAGAATCGAATTCATAATAGTTAATTGAGGCCAAAAAGGGGAACTACTAATAGGCATTTATTGGTTTACATAATTGTTGGGGAGGGATGGAGAAATAATGTATTTGGGGCTTTCAGGAATGATTCCCAAAGACACACTACGGAAGTGAACCACCAAAAGCCAGCTGCTGCAAATTGAAGACTTGGGAAGCTGATGCTGATGCCGGAGTCTCCAGAACCATAGTGATACTGCTTAATCAGGAAGTCACTGCAGTTACAAAACTGCCATGTCTAGGAAGACACGACAAATAAGAAGTCTCCATGAGCAGGAAGCCTCCTTATTGCTTCTGGCTCCAGAAACACACCATACCTGTCATTATAGGTATCAGAAAACTGATGTTCCATGCTTTGACTATCACCACCATGAAACCAGGGATTGAATACTGGGACTTCTGATAGTATTGCCACAGAAAAATGAGATGTCTCCCGACCATGCTTCCCTCTAGAAAAAAAAAAAAAAAAAAGCCAAATTAAGAATAAATTCTGACTCTGTTCTTCCTTGCTAATATGGAAAACATCCCAGCTCCAGCTGCAGAAAAGTCTGGATATGTCATTTTTAGCTTTTCAAGCCTCTGCAGTTAAGAACGGCACACTGGAAGGGGCTGGAATGGATATTGAGCACCGATCTACCTTATCCCATAAAACAGCAGTAGTGGATCTTAAATGAAGTGAAAAGGAAGAAAAATGTAGACCGAACATTTCTATATATTGAGCTTGATGTGGTTAAAACCAAATTCATTATTGCTCTTTCCCCCCAAACTATCAACCTATCTGGAGTTTTGAGTTTTTATTAAAGCTACCATTATACTATGACTTACGTCATTTAGAAACTAGTATGTGTCCTGTATCTATGTGACATCCAAGAAATATTTCTCAGTCATATAAATTACACCCTACACTGCATAAATAGTGAGAACATATAACTAGAAAAACTCTTATAACCTAGATGCAACTCTTTGTACTAAAAATTGTGTTAGCAAATTAAACCACTCTGACAGGGCTACTAATATCACTTCTACAACAGTGATTCCTCGCCTTTTTTTTTCAGTCCCAAAAGACCTAGTAGAAATATTTTTTTAAAAATAATGACTCACCATGGCACAAAGTATTCCACATAGTCATTAAAATTAAAGATGTATTCTTCAGTTATGGATCGTAAATGTAAATGTATTCAGTTCAAACATCTTCAGAATTTACTGCAATGAATTGTGATGAAAATGGCAAAAAGCATCAATAAACATTAAGTAAAACAAAGGTCAGAAATTTGGAAGTACAGGAGAGGGTTTGGGGGCTCCTATACAGACTTATTGATTGAATCAATTCTGATAAGTGTAGATAATAAAGTACTTTAGAGAGCCTTAACTGTTGTAAAAATGTGCATTCATTCATTTGAATTGCATTATAACATAAATGACTCAAAAGAGCACTGAGATTTTGGTGTTATATGAGTTACTCTTATATTCCATTCAAAGTTGTTGAGTTGTATTAGCCATGTACCTGATGTATAACAAACTCCTGTGGTACAGATACTGATGATGGCTATAATAATTGGACTTAGTGAGTGTGTAGTAGTGAGAATCCATCAAAGTGTTTTAAGCAGGGGAGTGACTTGATTAGACTGCATTTTAAATGAGTCAGAGAAGAAAAAGGGTGAAAAGTAGACAACTGAGAAACGTATTGCTGCTCTGGAGACAAGAAGGGAAGAAGCTGTGAGCCCAGATAAGTTAAATGGTTTGTTCAAGGTCTCTGAGCTGGTAAAAACAAAATTGGCTTTTCTCTCTTCACCCAAACACTTTTTCTACTATGATTCCTTACTTACAAATCCATTATTCACCACCTAAAATCTGAGATATCTCTAAGAGCATTTCCATTGTAATGATGCAGTTGGAAACTATGGACAGATCTAACTGGCTAATCATGTTTCAGCAGGATTTTTGCAGTCTTGGAGTTATTTTTTTCGGAAGACATAATTTGAACATTGGTATATTAACTATTAATGTGACTTGCAAATCAGCAAACCAAAGCATCTTAGGCTGATAAACTGGCTTTTCTTTAATTTTGCTTATTTTTTTAAAGGTAAGAGAGACATAATTAACTAGATGATTATTTCTCAGAAATATTGCTACGTTTACATTTTTCTAGAAGCATTCTTTTCTCCCATGAAACTCTCTGGGCATAAAGCCAGTGACTGCTTTTCTCATATTCCAACTACTGTTAGCTCGCAGCATCCTGCCTCGCTTCCCTTTTTCTTTCCATTCTCAGTCCTTATCCCTCCTTTCCTTTCCTCCCTGTTACACCAGCTACCAGCTGCCAAGAAGGTGGATGAGGTCATTTATCAAATCAGGAGGTTTTTCTTTGTCATTCAATTCATTTTCCTATTACATTGAAACTAAAAATTAGCATGGTTTTGTCTCAAAAAAATAAGCTCAACTTATATTGAAGGTTTATCTTAGAAGGTTTGAGTAATAATAGGAAGCAGGTCTTGAGATAATATAAAAGCAAAGGAGTAATTTTGAATCTTCAACTCCCAATATCTGTTTCCAACCATTTTCATTTTGGTGATGCATTAAACACTCTCCTCTAGTTTACTGATAATCGGTCTGTATTGTTATACCTCACTTTGTAGACACTTTGGCTGCACATATTCAATGGAACCCCTAGTGGTGGAGAAAACCATGTAATGTTTCCACTAGGAAAGGAGGAACAAACTGGAGATTCCTGCCTTATTTTGATTTCTAAGAATCAACTGCTCTAACTGGGGACAATGCTCAGGCCTGGGCTATACTAAATCTAGAATAAATCTTAAATACAGAGGGTGAAATAAGAAATGGTGGAACTTCTCAGGATCCCTGCGAAACATACCAGTATTCCTTCCATGGTTCCCTTCTCCCATCATTCCTTGCACAGTGCTGGGCCAAATCCAGTCTCTCATGGACCCTTTTCCATATGCAGCTACTGAATGCATTTTGGCCCCAGTGTAGCTCTCTAAATCTCACTAGATAACTGTAGAGACCCCCATCCATGCATCATAGCATCAGTGATCCACAACTCAGAAAGCATACAAGAACAAAAATTTTAAATATTATAGCTTTCTCTGTCAGACAGATTTTGCCAAACATCAACTGGTAACCCACAAACCCAAAAATTCTTATTGACAAAAAAGTAAAAAATCCCATGTTCCCATCACTATTGTTTGTAGTTAGTGGACCATCAAAATGGGCATGGGATAAGGAACTCCAGTTTTTAAAAAATTGTAAACGAAGCTCAGTCCTAAAAGATTTACAACACAAATAGCACTAATAAAATTATCCTGTGAAGTGATTTTTAATGAAGTGGAGTTAATTCAAGTCATGTCTGCTAGGCATGAAAATGGAAAGCAATAAATAAAAAAAGGTGGAAGAAAACAAATGTGACCTTGATGACTCCTCCAAAGTCCATAATCACCACATTGGTTCCTTTCATCCCCCGGTGATGTTAATCTTCTGTTTATTTTGCTACTGTAATCCTAAGTAATTCTAAATTTACCCAGACATTGCCCTTTCAAATTGGGCTATGCCTGTTCTTTCTCACCTCACAAAAAGTAAAGGAAAAAAAAGTGGGGTGTGTGTGTGTGTGTGTGTGTGTGTGTGTGTGTGTGTACTGTTGGTGGTTAAATATCGAGTTGGGACTTCCTCTTTGAACAGTTGCTTTTTCCTCTTACACAAAGGAGATCTCATTTTGTTTGAGCCTGGATATAGTTGAAACCAAACCACACACCGAGAGGGTATGATGGCTAAGAAGCCCCCAAAACCAGCCCCTCGCAGGATCTTCCAAGAAAGGTTAAAGATTACTGCTCTACCTTTGTACTTTGAAGGGTTTTTGTTAGTCAAGAGGTCAGAATACCAGGTAAGTCCATAGATGATAATGTTAAACCAGCAGTTTCTGTCTTAACATAAAAGTAATTTCATGGTGATTTGATGTGATGTGACAAGGGCCTCCTTGTTTCTGTTGCTGTTAAACCCTCTTCCTTGGGGCGCCTGGGTGGCTCAGTCATTAAGCATCTGCCTACTACTCAGGTTATGATCCCAGCTTCCTGGGATCGAGCTCTGCATCGGGAAGCCTGCTTCTCCCTCTCCCACCCCACCTTGCTTCTGTTCCCTCTCTAGCTGTGTCTCTGTCAAATAAATTAAATCTTAGAAAAAAAACAAAACCCTCTTCCTTGAGCTCAGAAATATGGCAATTTTGCACAATTTAAAGACAACGTATGGCTTAAACACATACACGTATATATATCTGTATTATATATAACATTCTAATGTTAAGTTAGTAATGTAAGAAAATTTAATAAGCTACACTTCCAAAGAATTTATTTAAACATTACAGAAGATTTCCACTTAGAAGATAAAATGTTTCCTATATTTTTTCTGCAATTTACTAGTATGCTTCCACGATGACATGTATCATTAAGATAACATACTATGACTGAAATTAAGCATTTTGCTCCTACTCTCATTTATTTGAAGTTTACAAATAATGATAAAATTATCTTTTAATAGTAAACTTTTGTAAAAAATTATGAAAATGGTAAAATTGATACTGTTTAACATTATGCATAGTTATATATTCTAAAAACATTAACATAGTGACTTGAAAAGCTAATATGTAAGTGCAGTGTGGGTAATATATACACAAAGCTACATAAATACATTCACTCTAAGAAAATGCAAAAAGCATTTCGTATTTTTTTTTTTAAGATTTTATTTATTTGACAGAGAGAGAGATAGCGAGAGCAGGAACACAAGCAGGGGGAGTGGGAGAGGGAGAAGCAGGCTTCCCGCCGAGCAGGGAGCCCGATGTGGGACTCCATCCCAGGACCCCGGGATCATGACCCGAGTCGAAGGCAGACGCTTAACGACTGAGCCACCCAGGCGCCCATTTCATATTTTTTTATATGTAAAAATGAAAACTTATAATTAGTTAAAATCAGTGTTTTTAAAATACCAATTACGGAGAATTTGAAATTAATGAGAGAAATAAACATGAAAGTGCCTGTTATTAATGAAAAAGGAAATAATTAAGTTAGGTCAAATTTTATGAAATTTTAATACTAACAAAGTAGAAAAAAATTGTTTCAAGAAATGTCACAAGAAATGTTTAATAATGATAACAGGATATATTTTCTGAAGATTTATTAACAGAAAAATTGTGTATGTGAAAATATCTGTAATACCACATTCTGGTTTTTTTTGCAAAGACATGGTACCTTACCTTCTGTTATGGGTGTTAAATATATATTAGTAAATTTGGCAGCTACATTAGAATATTTTTCGTTCCTCCTTTATGCTTTTAAAGTGAATTCTATCTTGTTACAACAGGTTATCCACATAGTTACACTTTGCCAGGAAATTGGAATTGGGAAAACAAAATTTCTGATTTGTAATTTAAATTTGGTTATTCTTTAAATAGCTATCAAAGTATTTATAATAACTGCTTCTGATACTGGGGTTTTAAGAAAATATTTAAAGAAGGCATTCCATTGGTATGGTTAACAGAAAGAACAAGGATTTTAGAGAGTCAGTAAAATATGTCTTTACCTAATGGTTTTGCCACTTAAACAGCTTGTGATCTTGTACAAGTTATCCTATCTCCTTGAGATTCAATTTTCTCAAACTATAAAATGGAAAAAATATGACTTGCTACCCAAGGTACTATGCCTGGGACACAACAGGTGCTCAATTAATTTATTCATTCAAGCAATGTTTACTGTGTGTCTCCTATGCACCAAGCATCATATGGACTTCTAGAGAATATAAACATAACACGAAGACCCTACCTTCAAGAGGCTTAGTTTATAGTAAGGAGGGATGACTCCCTTACCTGATTGCTACTCTACCTTTTCTTAGAAAGCATGCTTTGAAATGGAAAGAATAAACTATAGGTATAAATAGTTCTGATAAAATTAGCTTGTGTTTCCACTTGAATTCATAGCAACGTATCTTTTACTTGTATGTCAAGGAGAAGAGAGCAAGAGGACAACAATAATGTCGATTTACAGGGTGGTTTCAAGGATTAAAGAGATAACATATAAAATACCTGGTTTACACTAAAGATTAGATTCATTCTCCTTCCATTTCATTATTTATCATATTCTTATTAATATACTAAAATCAGTTTTAAGTCCATAAGTACAGCTGACCCTTAAACAGCATAGGTTTGAACTGTGTGGGCCCACTTACATTTGGATTTTTTTTTTAATAAATACAGTACAGTGTTGTATATGTATTTTTTCTTCTTGATTATTTTCTCAATACCATTTTCTTCTCTCTAGCTTACTTTACTATAAGGATACAGTATATAATACATATAACATATAAAGTATGTGTTAAACGACTGTTTATGTTACTGGCAAGGCCTCTGGTCAACAGCAGGCTATTAGTAGTTAAATTTTTCTGGAGTCAAAAGTGATATGCAATTTTCAACTGTGCAGGAGGGTCAGCACCCCTAACCCCCCCGCATTGTTCAAGGGTCAACTGTTAATATGGCTCAAAGGAGAGCCACAGGGCTAGAGTGCTAGAAAATGAAAGGTGGGAGAAAAAGCTAAGGAAAATAGAGGGATTTCTAGGCAAGCAGCAGCAAAGTGCCAGGGAACCTTTGAAAGTGAGGGTGAGTCAGGGGTAATAAAAGATTATCTTTAAAGAAAATGGGCTAGAGGAAGTTGGGATGTTCTGCAGAACATTAAGTGGGGTCTTTGCTGAAGGAATTCAAAACATTTAAGCTAGAAAAAATATAACCGAGGAGTAACCTAGTCTGTAAGGAGATCACACATTTAGAGGTGTTTCTTAGCTGTTTTGTGACTGGGGTACTTTTAAGAATTTAAAGAATTTTGCCCCTAGGAAAAGGTGCCAACATATAGTGTTTTAAATATAATTCCAGAAAGTCCATGGATTCCAGGTCAAGAACCCATTAAAAATACATAATCTTCGTGGGAAAGATAATGAAGGAAGACTTACTTAAGCCACAATACTAGAATTTTGGATTGATCAGGAAGATGATAATAAGAGCATGCCACGGCAGGAAACCAATGAAAACACAGTTCTTGCAAATGGGGAAAATTCTCATTTTTCTGGAACTGTTTAAAAAGAGAAAGCTCATAGTTTCTTCAATTTGTGATATGCTAAAATTAAGGACGATGTGTATAATATGTCTTCTTATTAGCCTGAACATAAGAATGTGGTCATCATAATAGTATCAAAATAACGTTTCTCTGACTAGTCCTCTAATTGCCACTAATTCATTGAGAAAAAATTTAGGGCTATCTCAGTTGTGCCCTTAAACATAGTTCTCTATGCTGGTAACCTCCAAATGTTTTAAACAACACACTCCTTTCAAGAAAACATTTTTGAGCACAGATCTCTAATATAAGAATATTAATTTATTTAGAAATTATGTATTGTACTCCTGTACTAATACTTCAAAAAAATATTTCATATATACAGAAAAGTTATTAAGAAAGATAAATGAAATATAATTAGATATCCTAAAAGTTTCTTCCCAGTGGGATTATCTTGCACACTTTTGGAGTTTATGTGCCCCACTTTGGAGACCACTATACAACATCCTTCCTTGAGCAAAGGTACTTGACTTGCTCACAGGAAAAAGAATCGCAACTTTTTATTGGGGACAGGGGATAGAGAGGAGCATAATTGGATTTTGCATGTAATCCATTTTTACTAGTTACATCAATAAGAAAAGAGCGCTGGAGAGCCAGGAGATATAAATATCAGTCCAATTATGGAAGCTGGGCAATTCCCTTAAATCTTTTAATCTGTTTCCTCTTTTGTAAGATAGATAATTACTCTCTTGTATAACTGAATGGGTTGTTGTGATGATCAAATGGACTATATAATAATGGGTATATTTTTTTGAGATACGGACATAAGATAGATACCATACTAGGCTCTTAATGTCCTGTTGCTCTGATTCTCACAGTAACTCTTCTGTGTAGAAATTATTTTATTTACTTCACAGGTGAATAAGCTGTGACACAAAGGTTATGTTCAAGGTTCCTCATCCATTAAGGAGGCTAGCTTGGATTTTATTGAAAAGCATTTGGCATCATGATGCCTCTCAAACTAAACTAATTCCATTTGATTGTGGGCTTCCAAAGGTTGGGGATGTCTAATCACTAGATTCTTTATCATATTGAGCTCAATAGTAGCTCAGTAAACTTTCAAAAACATTTGTTTAATTGAATAAAAATGAGATAGTGACCTTAAACTCTAAATGCAAGGTCAGCTAATAATTATGAAGCTAGCGATAAATTCAAAATCCCATTTCAGTTCCTTTTCTTCAGAAATTCAACACTAATTATTGCTAAAAAATAAAAAAAAACCTTTGTGTTAAATGTATTTCATTCAAAAATGTGTTCTTCAAAATTAATTTTTAAAAATATTTACATATCTCTATAGATATAAATATATACCAAGGTGTTGATTATTGAGATTGATATTTATAGATGCCTCAGATTGTACTGGTATGTTCATAAGAGCTTATCAGAAACTAAATCAAGACTGTGATCTCTGCATTCTGAATACAAGTTTGATCTGTTCTTAGGTTTGTAGCTGTGGTTGGAGTTCACAGGACCTACCGCTATTTGTAATCTTTCTTTTCCTCCAGGCTGCCTTCACTATCAATTCAGTGCCTTTGTTCTTACTTCTTCCCCTACTTAACAAACCCTCTTTAATCCTTTCCATGAGTCTGTATGTTTGTTTCCCAGTAAAACTCTTTTTTAAAAAAGATTTTATTTAGAGCTGGGAGATGAGCAGAGGGGAAGGGAGAGGGACAAGCAGACTCTGCACTGAGGACAGAGCCCTACACGGGGCTCCATCCCACCACCCTGAGATCAC